TTTGAACAATGAAAAAATTCTATTTTATAATTGCCCAACTAAGTACATTGTTAAAACGTGACACATGTGAGGTTGCCCGATATCAATAAAAAGACTGGACCCAAAGGCTTATAAAAAGAGTAAATCAGTCCATCAAGGGGACCTACTGATAAAGGGAAATTCAGAAAAAAGCCAATACATAGCACTGGGGATTCCACGAAAAGGAAAAGCAAATACGATGTGAACGAATGTTGAAAATGCGGATCATCACAGTTACCACAATTCTGCTTCCTCAGATTTCACGCAATAATTAAAGACTAAAGTCCAACGATAAATATAAACTTACCAGCAACCATTGTGCATTTTTTGCAGCGTGGTTCCATACCACATCTTGTACCGTCAGCATTTCCCATTCCTTTTCTACTTTAGTTACAAAATCTTCAAGTTCCTTCATAGTCACCTGTCGATCTGCCTAAATAAAATAATTATGAAAGCCATTTGAAGTAATTCATATTTTTTAACAACCTCATGAATTGTTTTTATCAAAGCATGATGATTACTGATGGAGTAGCAACTGTCTGATACTCCAAGTTCATGTACAGGTGTTAGGTGAATCATGTTGTAACCACTTTCTTTCGAGACTCGGAGACGTTTTTCCCAGCATGATAATGGGCCTAAAGATTCATGTGAGAGATAGTCAAACAAAATTGGTCACAGTTTCTTTTGCGATAAGAAAAAACATGAATAGCTGACTTTATTTTTTGAGAGATCAATAAGTAAACAAACCAGAGATTTGCTAAAATTATTCCATTAGGATCTTTGAGAGATAAATATGAGTTATTGCTTGTAATAAAAAGCATGCGTTCTTTAGTTACTCCCTTGTACATCTGAATTCAGGATAACGCTCCGTCTAACCGGATCATCCGTAATGTGCCAATTTTGGTCTCATATGCTTAGTTGTATTTGGAGTATGAAGAGATCAAATGACATGCAGATTTAGAACTTCACATTTTTTTAAACATCTCATGCTTCGATAGCAAATTAAATCTAAAAACGGGTCTCCCATCTCACTTTGTTTCGCAAACAGCACTAATTAATAATCTTTCCATTCATAAATGATAAAGTGCTTGCTGTTACAAAAATCACATCACGAAACCTCATCGTTTGAATCAATTAGAATTTGATTCAGTTCCCTTAATTACTCAGTTTCTCATTTTCATTCATTCGATTATTTCCATTCTTCATTCAGCCGCTTATTCATTTGCTCATACGTCTTATTCGACCGATAATTCATTCACTCAATGCATTTTTTAT